CAAACAGAGGTTTTTCAGAGACTCCAAACGGAGAGTTACAAGAAAAAAAGAAAAACTGGCAAGTGACCAAAGAAACCCACAAATGTGAGTATTTTCTTAAAACGTTAAAACGTTAAAACGTTACGATAACCACTGTATTCCATCCATCCATCATCTAAACCGCTTATCCTTCTGGGTCGCGGTGGGGTGCTGGAGCCTATCCCAGGTGTCATTGGGCGGAAGGCAGGATACACCCTGGACGGGTCGCCAGTCCATCGCAGGGCAACCACTGTATTATCTTAGCTTAATGCTGTTTTGATGTATTATGATCCTTTTCTTTATAACAAGCATAAAAAATCACTAGTAGTGTGTTGATGTCTTGGTAGGTAGCATGTTAAATTTGTCATGAAGAAAAAGACCATAATACGTTAAACAACATTAAAGATTATACAGTGGTTATCGTAATTTTTAACAGAAAAAAAAATCTCACATTTGAGGGTTTCTTTGGTCTCTTGTGCAGGCATCTTGCTGTTTTTTCTTTTTTCAGATAACACTCTGTTTGGATTGTGCCTCTGAAAATCCTCCGTTTGGAGGGTCGTGTAGTCCAAACACTTCACCCTACCCCTCTATCTCAACAAGAATCGGGACACCCTACCCCTTTGTGAGTGCACAAAACGGAGGGGTAAGGGCTAAGTAGTGGGTCGAGGAGTGAAATGGGATTGGGCCTTATAGTCACTTAACCGTCGACCTGATTGGTTTGATTTAAACTGACACATATTTAAATCAATCAGTCGTAAAGTCGTAGAGCATCATTGAGCATCACCGTTTTCCTACACCTTGATGGATACGGTTATACGTTTTACCAACATAAGCGATCAACATTTATCAACACAAGTTATAAAAAAATTAAAAATATAAGTTAAAATTAAAAATAGGGTTTTTTTGCCAGTAATGGAGGCAAATGTGAAATTTCATGAGCGAATATTCCTGATCATTCAAAGAACGTTCACGTGTAATTTGTACACTTCAGCCATTGCAATATGAAACCAACAGAACCAAATGAAAAAGATGCATCACAAAAACCCAAACTCTGGTCTGGGCTTCAGCAAAATAACTAGGTTATTTTTTAAATGCAGATGAAGAGAAGTATTACAAACAAATATATATACTCCCTCCAGCTGATATAAATGATCAAAGACCCATGACTAATCAGACTCCTCATCTCTCTGTTTCCAGTTTGTCTCTGGCTGTAGTTTGGGATTCCCCTTTAGCAGCAGAGCTTTGGGGGAAACTCGTCCCTGTTCCTGTTACAACTCAGTTTCCTGCCAACCCAATTCTGTTTCCTTTTGCCACTGGATATGTTCCTCTCCAAAGAACACCCTCATGATTTCTTGTTGTTTATCATTATTTGGCTGTTGGCTAGTGCCCACTATTAGAGAAACGTTGTCACAGGTAGAAATATTGTTTAATATTTCCTCAGCAGGATTGTGATATCGGGCCATTTCTTTTGGAAAGAAATACCTTCTAAGTGATTAAAAATCCCCCCCAGTTAAATTCCAGCCTTCCAGCTATGTGTCCTCTCAAACTAAGGTTCCACTGACTTTACATTCCCCTTTCCAAGAGACACTAACATTCACCCATAGCAGCCTTCAAATTCCTTTCTTGTGCATCTAAAATGACTAAATATATTTAGACTAAGTATATGTAAATTTATATATAAGTACATAATTCTGAGGAGATTAGAAGTGTGTTCCAGTTGCCTTCTTCGTTTCCTGCTAAGGGTATTCAGACATTTTAAGGGTGATTCCAAACCACAAGGAGTGAAAAAGCTCCGTTGGAAGCGAACTTCAAACTGCACAGGGAGTAGTGAACAACAGTTTATCACTGCTGGAAAGTTTATTCATCAGTCATTGCATATCTTTTGAGAATACATGTTTGATTATGACACTGTAGGACGTTCCGAATGAAGGTTTTTTCAGCTGCGGTTGCCTCAACTGACATCCCGTACTCAAGCGCGTAGGGAACATAACTGCTTAGGGACCCTGTGGAATAGAATGCAGTGTAGATGTAAGGTAATCCACTTGAATAAGGAAAGAAAAAAAGAAAGTCAAAGTAAATTAATTGAAAAAATAAGCGTTTCCAAAACTGGAGTTAAAGAAATTCAAGCTCTGGTAGACCATCAAAAACTTTTCCACTCCGTCTTTGAAAGAGAGGAGGAAATCAAGCTGCTTCAGATCTGAAAACATCCACAGGTGTTTCTGTCCATCCTTCCACTGTGAGAAGACAACTCAGCACTATGGGTCTGAAAGGACGTGTAGCTGTCAAGAAGGCCTCAATGAGAAAAAGATCAGAGATGTGGAGGACAATTTTATGAACTGATGAGTCTAAATTTGTAATTGATTGGATTGTAAAAATGTTGATGTAACCAGCTTCTAAGACTGAACTTTAAAGGTGTGGAAAAACATCCCTGCAGGTTTCTTTGAGAAACTGAAAGTGAGTCTCCTGAAAAGAACGGATGCTGTAGTAAAGGTGAAGAGTGGACTGAAGTAGTTGAGGCTACTGTGTAATTTACTGTGTAAATTTACAGGTTTGTGCAAAACTTTTAGACATCTGGGAAAACTGGATTTAAAATCTGTTTATCTGGGCAGTGACTATTTATTGTCTCAGAAAAAAAAAATTGAACCATTAAGTTACAGTAATTTGTGATTTTATGTATGTCAGTGTGTTCAACCATTTCCAGACCTCTCCTCATCAGCCCAGTGTTATTTATAGTTATTATCCAATACCTGCTTTGGCTGATCAGTCTTTTATTATGTTGGATCAGATGCACTTTTGATGGAATTTAATAAATCCTTGTGATGACTGAGGGGGTTGAGGAGAAATCTGAAACTTTGTTCCTCAAACTAGCCCATTTTAACCACTTTTTACTGTATTTATATGTGTTAGTATTTATTTTAGTGTTATGTGTTTTGTTTTTTCACTAATGCTAGAAATTTTAACTTGTTCTTAATGGTTGTTTTGACTGGATATTAAATACATAAAAGGGTGGTCCCTGGATGGACAGTACATTACATTAAGGACCATGTACAACTGTGCAGTATGACAGAAATGTTTTGCTGCAACAGTACAACTTTCATCGGAACTAACCCTGCATTATCACTAGACTTTTAAATGTGACATTTTTTAAGAGCACCATTTCCTGCGACTGGCCACAAGCTTCACTTTATCTGCTCCCTTATCTCATCTGAATGGTTCTGAGCCTTTGGAGAAGGAGCCTTATCTTGAACCACTTAGACTGAGTATCAGGCATGAGATGGTATTGTGATGTTTCCTATTTGCTCTGTACCCCTGAATATCTGCATTAATAGCGATGCTCTGTATGTGTGATACAGATGTGTCTCCCGGCTTATGAACAACATTCAGAAACTTGGATCCACCCTTCAAATTACAGACGTACCCATGTCAGTTTTTTTATGTACCTCAAGAAGGGTGGTCCACACAGCCGAATCACCGCTGTAGATAAGTGGTTTCAAAAATAGCTGCTGGCCAGGAGTGGTGGGGGTGGCAGGCTGGCTTAACCTCAGCTTCACTCCAAGTGTTTCTAAGAATAAGGAACTCCTGGATACACACACATTCTTTCCTGCACTTGCAGCATAAGCGCATTTCACTTGAGCTGTTGTTCATCTGTGGTGTGTCGCTGTCCAAGAGCAGAAAGAAGCCAGAGTTAGATATAAATTTACTGCATGCTTTGACTCAAATGTGGTCTAAAAACAAAGGTCAGAGGCCATCATGACTTAATTTCCAGTCAAAATGGCCATCAAACACCAGTTATTAATTTTTCAGTGTAAAAAAAAAGCAGAAAACATATGTCACAGAAAATTACACAGTAGCTTTGACAGCTAAATACATCACATTTTCAGTATTTTTAGTATTTAGTGTCCACTCTTTACCTTTATTACAGCTTCCAATCTCTTTGGGAGGCTTGCTTCCAGTTTTTCAAAGAAATCTGCAGGGGAATTTTCCACATCTCCAAAGTTCAGTCTGAGAAGTTTGTTACATTTTCTGCTTTTTAAGATCCCAAGTAATCCACATTGAATGTTGTTGAGGTGTGGATTCTGTAGTGGACAGTCCATTGTTTCTCAGTGAGGGCTTCTTGAACAGCTACACATCCTTTCAGACCCATAGTGCTGAGTCGTCTTCTCACAGTGGAAGCATGGACAGAAACACCTGTGGATTTTTGTAGATCTGAAACAAGAGTGAAGCATAATTAGAGAATTGGAGTGGACGGTTCACAGTTTTCGAATAATAAGCAGAAATCTAAGAACCTTTTGTGTCCAGAGAGATAAACGAAGCTGTAGATGATTCTAAAATAACTGAGAAAGCTGCAGAACATCAAGAATCACATTTGAAAAGTGGTGGTCAGATCCCGGCGGATACCATGAAACAGAAGTTATTGTAAATAGATAACATATTAGACGGTATGATATTTATAAGGCTTTAGGGCTGCAACAAATGACTAATTTGATAGACAAATAATCTATCGATTAATTAATATTGATTATTAGGTTATGAAGCACTACGGACCACATTACCGATTCCAGAGAACGTGCATTTTGAAATAGGTGTTACAGCTCAGCTCATAACATGAAGTAGGACAGCTTTAAACACTAACATTAGCTAACTAGCTAGCTAACACAGCTGTCTTACTGAGATGAATCTTCCTCATCCAGTGAGCTGACGTGTTTCCTCTTCAGATGCTCCAACATAGAGGTCGTGCTCCCATAGCCAGCTGAGGTCAGCTTTACAAATAGCACAACTGAATTTAGCGTGAAATGCTCCCGAATAATTGGCTTCTTTAATAACTTGATTGAAATCCAAATATCAAAACTACCTGAAATACCTTCTGTTTTTTATAAAACAGCACAAATACAACGATTCCAACCTTTCAATAGATAAAGTCAAGTCTCCTTCTGTCTTCACATCTTTGTTCTTTGTGTCTCTCAATTCCTCCCTCTCTTTAGTGCTAGATGAAGAAGAGGAGGGTGAGCGGTTTGAGTTTGATGACAGCTGTGATGAAGCTCCTGAGGCCGATCGCCCTCTCCCGGCTCCTCCTGTGCAGGACTATGGTGCTCCAGACCACTGTGGAGCAGCAGCTTCATCTGCACCTGTTAGTCCACCCTCCTTAGTGGGTGCAGCCAGTCCAGCGAATGGGACTAATCTTGGCTCGTACAATGCAGAGGCTGATCTACCCCCACCACCTGAGAACTGTGCCCCTCTTAATGCCCCATTGTGCCATACTGTGGCCCCACAGAGTGACTTACCTGCACCCCCTGAAGAGGAACAGAATCTGAATGGTTCACTCGCTGCAGCGGGCCTGGATAGTGATCTGCCTCCACCTCCAGAGGATGTCACACGACCTGCCACTGAAACTGGTAGGATTTTGACTGCTGGAAGATTTCCAGTGAAGTTATGCAATTGCTTGAGAGCTACACTGGCCATCAAAAGTTTGGGACATCTATCTGTGTAGAAGTGTTTAAACCAAATGAGCGTAGTTGTTTATTGGTTTGCAATAGCTTATTAAATTTTAACCAGATATGTTGGTATTTTTTCTCGCATGCATGTAAATATTTGTAAGAATCCATCCACTTCCCAGCACTCATCAGCACTCAAACCTTTCAGATGTGTAGACCACGTTTAAGGCAAAAGAAGTTCTTCAGATACTTTTGGCACTAATTGTCCGTTATACCAGGTAAAAACGTTCACAAGTCGCTTCATGTGAGTTTTGAGCCAATTCTCAAGTCTCTGGTATGAAAATCTGAGTTGAAACCCTGAGGTACGAGTGAGAGTCAAGTCTCAAGTCAACTACGTGCCAGTCCAAGTCTCGAGTCTCTGAGGTGCGAATCTGAGTCGAGTTTCGAGTCTCCGGGTTGCAAGTCAGAGTCAAACCTGGAGTCGAGTCTGAGTCAAGTCTCTGAGGTCTGAGTCAAGGTTGACTCCTGAGTCCCTGAGGTCCGAGTCGAGTCTCTGGGGTGCAAGTCAGCCATGCATAGATTCTCTATTTTCTTTATATACTTTTAACGGTAGTTGTCCATTATACCAGGCAGAGATGTTCACAAGTCGCTTCATGTGAGTTTGAGCTCAGTCTCTGGCGCCAGTCCGAGTCTCGAGTCTCTGGGATGCAAAGGCGAGTATGAGTCAAATCCCAAGTCTCTGAGTTGCGCGTTCAAGTCAAGCCTCATGTCTCTCAGTTATGAGTTTGAGTCACAAAATTCTGGAGTCCAAGTTGAGTCTTGAGTCTCTAGGCTGGAGTCTCTAAGGTTCGAGTCAGAGTCAATTCTCAAGTCTCTGAGGTGCAAGTCAGAGTTAACTCCTGAGTCTCTGAGGTCCAAGTTGAGAGTCAGGTCTCTGAGTAGCAAGTGCCAGTTGACCCTCGTGTCACTGACGTCTGAGTCGAGTCTCGGGTCTCTGAGTTGCGATTCCAAATCATGTCACAAAATTCTGGGGTCTGAGCCCAAAGTGAGTCTAGAGTCTTTGGGCTGTGAATCCGAACCAGATCTTTGAGATGCAAGTCAGAGTTGAGTCTCGAGTCTCTACATTGGGGCTCCGAGTCAGGTCTCGAGATTACAGGGTGTGAGTCTGAGTTGAATCTCGAGATTCCAGGTTGTGAGTCCAAAACGAGTCTTGAGTATCTGGAGTGTGAGTTCGAGTTGAGTCTCGAGTCTGTGAGATTTAAGTCTGAGTCAAGTTTTTGAGTCTCTGATTTGAGTCTCTGACTCCACTGCAAACTGCAGAAGAACAACACTGCAAAAATGAGTGCAGATGAAGCCAGATTAAAGTTTAAAGCCCTAATTAGTTTTCTTTGTGATGTTTCTTTCTTCCTCGAACTTAAGTCTTAAGTTTTGAATTCAAGTCTGAATGCGAGTCGAGTCTGAGTCAATGACTCTTATCGAGTTCCCGTCTCTGATAGCAAGAAAGACACTTTACTGACTGTTGTAAAATGTGCAGTATAAGAACAAAAATTACTGTGAAAATTTCTAAAGAAAGTAAGATGTCTCCAGACTTTAGATGGACACTGTTAGTGAACTTTTGCTTTTGTAACGTATCGTTTTAAAAAGTGTGGCTGGTCCTCGTTAAAAGAACCTTTTGGAATCCTTATTCATGTTTTTCAGAAGACGAGCAGGTCTGATGTTTGTATTTTATTCCCATCTGCAGGGAACAGCAACTCCAGTGTGGCCCAATCCAAAGTCAACCCTTACTCAGTGATCGATATCACCCCCATCCAGCAGATCTCCCAGCAGGGCCTGCCTCTCTCCTCTTCTCCATCCAATGAGAATGAAGGGGATTCCCAGGAATTACCCAGCAGCCCTGTTGTGCCCTCTGGGTACTCGGTGCCTGTGCCCTGCGGCTATGCTACGCCCTCCAGCGTGCCCATAATTACGCCTGCCTACACCACGCCGGTCATCATCAGACACTTCTCTGTGGATGAGGACGGTAAAGGAAAAAAAAAAAACATTGTTTTTCTTTTGTAGCCCTTTGAAAATAGGTGATAACCATCATCGTCAGTGTCCTTGCACCCTCATAAACTCTGTGTCTCTCCTTTTTCCTCTCTTCTGCTGCATGACCTCTCTTTTTGAAGTTTGGCCACGAGGAAACTGAGGCTAAATATAGCAGAGCTAAGGCTTTGGCTGTGATGAGGGTTTCCTGTTTTCTCCAAAGTGTTACAGTGGCCTCCTTGCTGTGTGGTCAGACCATTTCTCCCATTTTTTACTTGGTTGTTCTGCTGTCGCTTTTCCCTCACCTTCTGCAAATGACCCCAGCAGTCTGGTCCAGAAAAAGAACTGTAATTGCGTACAACATGATTCAGTTTAAACAGTAAAACGATATGATCATGAACAAATATGCCTTTTATTACCGATGTAAAGTCAAGCTTGTTTGGCTTTTTCGGAGTCTGGGAAGCGTTTGTTTCTCTTCATCAAGCTAATGGTTTGGTGCTGAAGGTTCAGTTTGGAACGTTCCTCTGTCTCAAAATGTCACCGCGTGGTTTCTGACTGACCTTCAGACTACGCTCTGGAATGTTTGGAATATACCCTGACAGTGTGGACAGCTATTTTGGACTGGAGTTGAGTCTTTGTTATGCATGTCCATGTTGCAGCTTTTGGTTGAAGGGAAATGATGTTCTGTAGTAAAACTGCATTATTTTGCAGACAGTAGTGCTAACAGTAGATGTGAACTCATGTGCTAAACAAGCAAGTCGTCTCTGAACGTTGTTTTTTTTTCTAAATTTTGTAACGTCCTGCTGATGATGGTCCAGATGTTTCTCCACCCTATCTTACTTTAGGTATAATGTCGCCCCCGGGTGGTGGAAATAGTTTTTACTGTTAGATGTCAATCGCATTGGCTCATTCTACTTCTGTAATAATAATAATAATAATAATAATATTAATATATAATGCTACTTTTCTCTCCTGCAGTGACCGTGGTGGGGGCGGGGAATACTTTGACAGACAAGTGAGTGTGGTTTGTTATTCCTTTTGGTCAGTAGTTATAATAAAGTTAGAGTTACAGCCCGCCCTAACTGTATTTTCACTAACTGAACATTCTTTGACACACACAATAATTGAATAAATGGAATCTACAGAAAGTTTTCATGTTAAATTTGATTAATTCTCCTTCATCAGGTGTTATGGTTCTCCTTCATGTGATGCTTCCCTGAACAGCTGTAATGTGGGTACTTTTTGTTTCGCTGCAGTGTCTTCAGTGAAGAGTATCCAGTGATAAGGGAGGAAGACGCTCTGACTAAGTGGGTTTCGGACCCTGCCAACACAGCCTGGATGGAGAGTAAGGCTCGATTTAATGACGGCGTAAAAATAGCAGCGTTTTGTTCCAAACTTTTTTGAGTGGCTCTGTACCTTGTGGGTGCTGTAATATGTCCAGTCAGCATTACCTGTGACTTATTCCCATGCTTCTGGGAATATTCTGGGAATATTCTAAAAATGGCATTCTAGTGATCATTCAGTGTGTCGTTCCATTTTCTTGGTTGGAATCCACATTTTATATTTCTAGGGCAACCTTTGGGTTCAGCCTGTCAGTATATTGATGTAATCACCTGATCGTGATTATTTGAGCTTATCGTAATTATTTCAGGTGAACGCAGTTATTTAACCTCTTGTGCTCGTGGGTATATTTCGGTTTTTCCATCTGAATTTACATGCCCAAATCTTAAGGCAAATTGTTCAGTAACTGCCTGAAATACATGTTTTTTTTCCCTCAAAGTTTTCCTCGAATTAACAGAAAATATGTTTTATGATCATAAACTTAATCCTACATGCTTACAATTTACTGCTGAAAGCCAAAAATCTTAGATGCTCTTTGTATTTTTTTATAAAAATAATTTTTACAGAGCAGATCACTGAAGAGACGCCATCTGAGATCCAGTTTATAGTTCAGATTCGTGGAAAAATGGGTCGACTTTCAGTAGAACAAAAAGTTGTGAGTTCAGCTTCTTTTGTTATAAAGTTTTAAAATTACCCATCTATTTGACTGGAAAGAAACTGTTACAGCTCTCATATGACACCACCCTTTGAATGAAGCTTATGAAATATGAAAGTTATGAAGTAAAGAACATGATGAAGTGCGTTTTGGAGTTAAAAAGGTTAAGCTAATCACAAGTACAGAATCTCCACTGTTGTCAACTTGTTAACTAACTGACAGTCGTGTTTGCTTCACAACAAACAGAATGTGAAATGGGTGCCTTTTCATCAGCTGGGTTGACGCAAATACATGTAAATGAAAGAAAGCAGGAAACACATTTCTTCTGATTGGTGCTGTAACACATTTAGGGTGCACTCACGCCTCGTTTGGTCTAGACCTTCAGACTTTTCAGTTTGGTCTGAACCAAAACAGCAGGTGTGAAAGGTGCCTCGGACCATAGTCCGGACCAAAGGACCAAAGTTTGGCCCGACCGAAAGAGGCGATCTCAGTCTGGATTAAACTGAACTATGATTCGCTACATTTGCAGTGTGAAAACACCGGTTTGATTGGCTCAGACTTTCGGACCAATTACAGGAAGTTGAAGCAGGCTATCATTAGCCATTATACAACAGAAGAAGAAAAAGAACTGGGAGAGAAGTTCAACAACAAGCCACGGTAGCACATGAGGAGAGGACAAGATGAAATATTTAATTGTGATTTAGTCCAGCGAAAACGTCAAAATTCAACTTAAAAATGCATAAACATGCTGAAACGTTTATGATGTATATAATATAGTGGCAGCGAAATGAATTCATTCACTTTTCTCCATTCAAACGGAAAAGGCTACCCACCAAATTGACAGCCAATCAGTGTCAAGTATAGGGAGATTTTAGGCTTGTGTTTAATAGTTGCATATAATAAACAAAAAAAGACAATTAAATTATTAATGGCAATTATTTATATGGCAATTAATTGTCAGCTTAAATTTCATGATCATGACAAGCCTACCTGTGTTTATAGACTGAGGTCATCAGTGATGAAACTTACTGCTACACGTTGTTTGAAAAGGCCAATAAAATGTACAGTAAAATATACAGTACCATATTTCTTTAGTTGTGTGTCTGTCTAAGATTGTGTAAGTCAAATTCAGGGTGTTTCTTTTTCAGTGACTTGAGCACTTTTTTGCTTGCAGGACAGCATTTCATTAAAAACACCATTCACATCAGTGTTTTCACTCGCCATCTTATTATCCTTCACATCTCAAATTTCATGCAACGTTCCAATGACGTGAAAGGCACCCTTAGTAGAGCCTTTATGGGACAGTGCTACAGCTTTTTACAGGAAGTCCTCACTAATTACTAATGCTCATTACCAGATACAAATAGTCGTTAGATCAGTTCTCATGTCTGCTACAGATGAGTCTGAGGACAGCTGGGGAGAGCTGTGTTTGAGGAAAGTTTTACAGAAACTCTTAGCCCTCTTTTCTCATTTTCCTTTTCTTGAAGTGAATTCCCAGACCCGCTTCCTTCCCCTTCTGCAGAGGAAGTGCTCCACCGACTGGGCTTTCCTTCACAGCGGCAGCATCCGCTCAAGTCAGACTGTCGCATGATCAGCACAAACAAAAACCCGCTGTCTTTATCTTTTACACATAGAGACGAGAGCTTTTAGGACGTTTGTTTGCGTTTGTATTTCAGACCCAGATGAAGTTATTTATGATGATGTGCCTCAAGAGAATTCTGGATCCACTACAGGTCAGTGTCTCTCACTCCAGCTCTCTCTGTCTCTCTGACTCTCTGACTGTAGGGAAGCTCACTTCTGCATTTCATTGCTTTTCTTCACATCTTGTCTTTGCATATTAGCCCTTTTAAATTCTGCCTCTGTAAGTAATCAAATGGAAAGTCATAGTGTCCAAATCTAATTTATTTGCCAGAATTACGTACCATAATGCATTAGGAGTTATGTCATTGCGCAAAAGTTACTTTTAACGCTCTTTAAAGGGGCATTCTGACTAACTAGGATTTAATGTTGTTTGTCATGTTATGTAGTATTCTGTAGCACAGCGCTGTATCCCATAGCCTCATTGGTTTGACAGTTTATATAGTTTTCAGATTTTTGTCCATCAGTGTTCTCTCACTATAATAGCATTACACAAACACATGGTACAGCTGACTATGCGCAGCCTATTCTGACTGTTTGCCTAGCCTAATGGTCCCAACCCAGTCCTCAGGCCCACATGGGATGGAACAAGAATGTGGACCATTCTGGGGTCACCCTGAGGGCTGGGTTGGGAACCACCGAGCCACCCACTGAGCTATAGGCTAATAAATACCTAGCGGTAACATTCAATACACTCTTAAAAACATGGTCCTTCAAAGGTTCTTTAGTAAAGAAAATAGGTAATAAAGCATAAAGGATGCATGATGGTCATGAAACAGTTTTTCAGATTGATGTAGATTGTGCTGTAGATGGTTCTGTATGGAACCTTTTTGAGGTAGGGTTCTATATAGCACCAAAAAGCGTTCTTCTGTTGTTATGATATCAAGCTTGTAGCCATAGAATACCCCTTTTCAAAGGTTCTATATAGAACCATACACACAAAACATTCTCCATCAGTCTGAAGAATGATTTCTTGATGCAAAGAAACATTTAATGATGCAAAGGGTTATTTGAGTAATCATGGTTCCATATAGAACCATTTTCCTTAACAAAGAACCCATTAAGAACCACCTTTTTTAAGTGTTTTAAGTGTGTATCTATTTCCTGTTGCGTTTTCCAGCAATGGAAAAAACAAACATTTCAGACGGCCCCCAAAATCCACCCAAAACAGCTGTAGTTTTTCAGAAGTTCCTTCTACTTCCAAGATACATAATCATTTCCTACTTTCTTAAAAAAGAAACATGGTACTTTAAGGGTTTTTTAGTAAAGAAAATGGTTCTATATAGAACCATGAACACTCAAAGAACCCTTTGTGTCATTAAAGGGTTCTTTGCGTGGTGAAATGGCTCTTCGGATTGATGGAGATTGTTCTGTAGATGGCTCTATATAGAACCTTTTTGAAAAGGATTCTATATAGCACCAAAAAGGGTTCTGCTGTTGTTGTAATATCAAGCTTGTAATCATAGAAGAACCCGTTTTGGTGCTTTATAGAACCTTTTTCAAAAATGTTCTATGTAGAACCATCTACAGCACATTCTCCATCCATCTGAAGAAAAGGGTTCTTGGAGTGCTCATGGTCCTGCATAGAACCAGTTTCTGTGCTAAAGAACCCTTGAAGAACCATCTTTTTTCAGTGTGTAGTCTTTAAACTGAAAAATCTCACTCTAAAGTCTACACACTTAAAATGAATTTGCATGGTGAAATGGTTCTTCCGATTGATGGAGAATGTGCTGTACATGGTTGTACATTGAACCTTTTTAAAAATGAATCTATATAGCACCAAAAATGGTCCTTCTATTGTAACAAGTTTGACATCGTAGCAATAGAAGAACTCTTTGTTGTGCTATATAGAACACTTTTAAAAAGGTTCTAGGTAGAACCAACTACAGCACATTCTCCATCAATCTGAAGAGCCATTTCATGATGCCTGAGTAAATGGTTCTTTGAGTGTTCACTGTTCTATACAGAACCAGTTTCCTTACTAAAGAACCCTTAAAGAACCATCATTTTTAAGTGAGTAGAGCAGCACCGCTTAAGACGTGAGATGGCCTGTTTACAGCAGATATAGTGATGGTTAGTTTTTTATTTTGGTCACAGTGTTTCTTTAATGGAGGATCTAAACTCAGCCTGCAAACAGCTATGAAACCAAACAGAAGTGGACAGTAGGCTCAGATGGAACTGATTTACAAAGCAAAAGCATTTCTGAAACTACAGACGAAACCCTGTGGGTGGTGAAATTTGTCCACTCAGCATTAGCTGTGACTTATTCTCATGCTTATGCAGTCAGGAAATATTCTAATAATACCACTCTAGTAATCCTTCAGGGTTTAGTTTCATTTTCTCAAAAGGGAAAGTGAATAGCAACAACATTGGGAACAAGATGGCAAGATCCCAACAACAATAATAACAATAGAAGTTTTGCTTAAGTGTGAACTTTTAGTACCTGCTCTGCACCATATTTGATCTCTTTTACTTTATTATTGTACATTTCATTTATTATGGATTGGTAAATATTTGTACCATTAATCTTTTAATTCATTTAATTACATCTCTGTTAATGTTTGTATTATTATCTCTTGATGTTAAAGCACTTTGGATTACAATTGTTTATGATATATACTGTATACATAAATTTGCCATGCCTGTGTGTGCGGTCATTAGATTCTATTAGATGAGATTCAACTTTGTCATTGTGCAGAGTACAGTACAGAGCCAATGAAATGCAGTTAGCATCTGACCAGAAGTGCAAAATACAGTATTATTTACATATGAAGTGCAGAAGGACGGTATATAGTGGTATAAAAATATAGATATGCAAGTGTAAATATAATATACATACATACAGAGTGAGTGCAGAGTGTACGAATGTAGGTAGTATGTACTGTGAGAGCAGCATATGGAAAAAATAAGTATGCAGAGAAAACTTGTACAGTAATTGTCTGTGCAAATATGAATAGTGCAGATATAGACTGTGCAAATATGAATAGTGCAATAATACCAGGATATAAAGTACAGTTCAGTACAGTGAGTGCAAAGATACAGTTAAAGTGAGGAGTTGTGGAGCCTGCTGATGCGGGAGCGGAGGCACCTGTAACACCTGCCATATAGGAGAAGGGTAAAAAGTCCATGGTTAGGATGAGAAACATCCTTACTGATGTTCCTCGCCCTGCCCAGGCAGCGCTTATGGAAAATGTTCTTAGTGGAGGGTATCTGGGCACCTGTGATGCGTTGGGCAGTTTTCACCACCTGCTGGAGCGCTTTGCGGTCAGATGTGGAGCAATTGCCATACCACACTGAGATGCAGTTGGTGAATATGCTTTCAGTGGTACAGTGGTAAAAGTTCACCAGTATCCCGGGACACAGGTGAGCTTTCTTGAGGCTCTGTAGGAAGCAAAGACGCTGTTACATGATGGAGGAGTTTAGAGACCAGATGAGATCGTCTGATGTAGATGGGGAGTGCGCCTGGCTCCTACCCCTCCTGTAGTCCACTATGATCTCCTTAGTTTTCTGGGTGTTGAGCGCCAGATTGTTGTCCTCACACCATGCCGCCAGGTGCTGCACGGTCATGGGTGAACGGAAGAGGGCTGAGCACACAGCCTTGTGGCACGCTGGTGTTCAGGGTGATGGGGCAGGAGAAGAGTTTAACAGTCAGGAAGTCCAGAATCCAGTTGCACAGAGATGTGCTGATACCAAGCTGGCTAAGCTTTAAGATCAGCTTGGAGGGGTTTCAATGTTAAATGCTGAACTGAAGTCAATGAACAGCATTCTGGTATGTGAGTTTTGACAGTCCAAGTGGGTCAGTACAGTGTGAAGCGCCATGGAAATGGCATCCGCTGTTGACCTGTTGCAGCAGTAGGCATATTAGTGTGGGTCCAGCGTAACAGGGAGACAGGACTTAAAATGAGAAAGAACTAGTCTTTCAAAGCACTTGGAGGTGAGTGCGACAGGGCAGAAGTCATTCAGAGCTGAAGCAGTCGAATGCTTTGGCACTGGCACAATGGTGGCAGTGTTGAAGCTAGTCGAGACAACTGCCTGGGCCAGCGACAGATAGAAAATGTCTGTAAAGACCCCAGCCAGCAGCTTAGCACAGGCTTTTAGCACACGACTAGGTACTCCATCAGGGCCAGCTGCCTTTCGTGCATTCACCTTGCTCAGAGTGTGACAGACATCCGTGGTGAAGACGGTGAGTGGCTGCTCATTAGGTGGTGAATCTGTTTTGGAGAAGACCACCTTATTTCCCCTGTCGAAGTGAACATTGAAGTGGTTGAGCTCATCGGGGTAGTGAGGCACAGTTGGTAGGGGGCACAGTACTGGGTTTAAAGTGAGTAATTGACTGGACACATACGCCGGGGGTCGGAGGAGTTGAAGTGCTGTTTGTCAATCCGCTGTTTGTAACAGTGTTTAGCCTTTGAGATGCCTCTTCTGAGGTTGGCTCTGGCTGAGCTGTAAGCCTCCTGATCTCCAGACCTGAAGGCAGCATCTCTTGCTTTCAGCAGAAGGCGAACCTCTCTGTTCATCCAGGGCTTCTGGTCATATGCAAAAGTTTGGGCGTCCCTAATCAAATTGCATGTTTTGTTGATTTTCTAACTGAAAAGAAGTTGCCAAATATGACTGACTGTATATGTTTGTTTGTCAGACCCAGATGAAATGATCTACGATGACGTGGAGCTGGGGGAGGAGGGCGGCAGTAGTTCCCTGGATAACGGCTGGAGCTCCAGTGAGTTTGAGAGCTATGAGGAGGGCAGTGATGGTGAGAACGGTCATGCAGAGAACGGACTCCCGAGCGCCTTTGTCCGCGGACGCCCGCCAAGCAAGAAAACACACGTGTGTATTTTACTCTTCCTAACGTACAAAACTCACAACTGCATGCGCTGGGACTGGCTACATGACAAGAAACAATATTAAATTGTTTTCTTGTACATCCTGTACACAGCCGATTGATGATGGTGTCATTAATCGCAAAATAGTTTCGCTCTGTTCTGCTTGCCAGCCAAGTTGGGCAGTTTAAATGTCAGAAAAAGCAGCTTCAGGATGCACTTAAGTATATTTGTATATAAGTATATTTGTTTTGTAATCTATATGTTGGGTGAGATAAATATGTTGTCAGGCTTTCGAACACTGTAGAGCACCTTCCCTTGTGAAAATGAGCATAGCTTTCGACATTGTGCATGATTTAAGTGCACATTAGAGTGATTAAAGTGTGCTTTACACTGTGAAAGTGTTCTTCAGATTGATGGAGAATGTGGTTCTATGTAGCACCTTTTTGAAAAGGCTTCTATATAGCACCAAAAAGGGTCCTTGTATTGTACATCATAATGATAGAAGAACTATTTTTGGTGCAATTTAGAGCCCTTTTTGAAAAGGTGCTTTACAGAACCATCTACAACACATTCTCCATCAATCTGAAGAACATTTAGTGATGCAAAGAACTCTTCAATCATGCAAAGGGCTATTTGAGTATTCATGGTTCTATGAAGAACCATGAAGATCTATCATTTTTAAGAGTGAAGTGTAATTTTTTTGCCTCATACTTGCAGCAGCCTTCAGCCCCCATTCCTTCATACTCGGAAGATCTGTAAAATATTTTATTTAATTTTCCCTCAGCTTGGGAATGTGAGTCATCCCTCCTTTGTTTTCATCTTTGTGGTATTTGTTTCTATGCCAAATTATGAAAACAAAATGTAGTTCTCAGTCATTCAGAGCGTAACATCCTGTAAAGCTGCCTGTATTAGCAGCACCAGTGAGGGTGTAGAATAATATTGAGCTGGTGTAGAGATTCAGAACCGGTTTATTTTCACAGGTTTAGGGATGTTGAGTCTGGGAAGTGCCGGAGTTACAGTTCAGAAACACTGCTTTGCTTTCTGTTCACCCTCAGGGATTTGTGTCTGTATGTGTCTGTATGTGTTTGCACATGTGTCAGTATTATGTGAGAGAGAGACGGACAGTGAATGGATGTGGATGAGTCAGTGACAGTCAGTGAGTGCGAATGAGGATGACTACCTCAGGAAGTGAATGTGTGTGCGTGTGTCAGCGCTCTGGAGTACGTGTGAGGTAACTCCCGCTCTGCCTCTGTGCAGCTGTCTCAAGATCTGACGCGTTTGAAAGAGCACTATGAGAAAAAGGTGAGAGATCTAATGGCAAATGCAGTGGGGACAGTAGAACTCCAGCAGCTCAGACACAAACATGAACAGAAGGTAAAGACCATAGAGACTATATCATCCCACCAGCCTAAACCGTCTGTCTGTTCGTCCAGGTCTTCCTTTCCCTGTTTAAAGCGATAGTTTGGGGAAAAGTTTAAGTTTATGCAATTGTCCCCTTAACCCAGGTGAGCAGTTAAGGCATGTTTGGTGTCTGAAGTTTGCTTTGCACAACTGACCACTTGCTAAACTCATCCCCTGGTTGCTGTTGTTACCCCTTGACAAGCTGTCAAGCATGGCATTTAAAACTCAACATAGGCCCAATCCCTTTTCTCATTCTTACCCCTGCCCCTTGAGTGTCACTTTGCCCCTTGGAACTGAGTTACAAGCGGTAGTGGTTGTAATCTAAATGGGATTAATGAAAAGTTCAGCTCCTAACTGCTGGACTTTAGTTACATTTAGGGAATCATACGCCTTCAAATGATTTATTATCGCCCACCCCTAATTCTTCAGTGATGTGAAGCTGAAGTCATCTATTCGCCAGCTTCTTGTTAGAATTTTCCCATTCCACCTTAAATGGTGGAATTTAAGGTGGAATAGGAAATTTAGCTAGCTAGCTAGTGAGACATCAGCATACTATTAGCAATTTTTTTTTTTACGATTGTTATGAAAAAAAGGACATTCAATATACATTGAAACGACATTAAACTAAGATAATACAGTGGTTATTATAATGTTTATTGTACTTTTTGGTCTCTTGTGCAGCCATCTTGCCACTTTTTCCTTTTTTTGTCATAACACTCTGTTTGGAGGGCCGTGTAGCCCTAACACTTCGCCTTACCCCTCTATCTCAACAAAAAGCGAGACACCCTACCCCTAGACATGAACATGCAAAACAGAGGGGTAAGGCTAAGTGGGGAAAATGGGATTGGGCCACTTCTTAATAGAGACTAAATGCACACATAACAGTTAAAAAGGGTAGAATCCACATCTTATTGCAGGCACCTCAAGCCAGGCGTACACTGTGATTTTAGTCCAATTTGGTCATCACCAACTAAACTTCAGGGCCAGGCTGAATTTTAGCTTTGTCAGTCATCGTTTGATATGTAGTATGAGGAGTGAGGGCAGTTAATTGCCCAGACATGCTCTGTTTGAGCAGTCGAACGGTTCGCGTGGATTTCTTACATGTCCGAAATTTTGGTAGCTTGTGTTGCAGTTTAAACAGTCTCTGGTAGTCAAACATAAACCACATAAACACAACCACTCTGCACAGGTGAGCACGAGGAACAAAATGCAGATGAAAAGTTGACTTTGTATGTTATAAGGTTCATATATACCAGCTGTACTCTGTGTGGCTAAATGGTATTGCAAGGTATAAAAGTTAGTACATATTTTTTAAAATTCTCTACAAAATAGGCCATAGATAGTCTGTATTGCCCTACCATGTCCCTCCTGGTTTTATTTTCAGTGCATAGTGTGGTACAAAACACCGAAACTGCTGTAGCTCAGTTTCTCAATATTTTTGCTTGGTGAGTTGTTTTCAGTGAAACAGCTTTATTGGAGATGGTCAATATACAGGGCAGTCTCAGACAGTTTTCATATAGCGTGAGGATATAAATCAGACGTTTTTGCTGTACATGATGGTCTGTTCAAACATGCAGTGTGTGCTGTCACCAAAGAACAGGATTTCCAGAATCGCACAGTGTATGTCTGGCTTTAGAGCAGCCTATCCTACTAATTCTGAGTGATAAGACTGTTTGTGTCTTTGGTTTAGGAAAACTCTTATTGCTGGGTGTCCAACATGCAACGTTATGGCGTAGCGTTAAATTGTGTAAACTTGTCAGAGGTGCCTGGGTCTAGCTACAGTTTGACAATCAACATTAATAGGAGGGGTTTAGTGAAAGGTACATTATCAGTGGTTTACTTTAATTTGAGTGAATCATTTTTGTTCAGAAATTAATAAAAAACAAGTTGTGTCTCACTTTAGAGTAACAAGTTATGACCCATTCATGCAAAAGAGAAAGAAAATTTTACTTAAATCTCAAAAACAAAAATTTAAACAAGTAATAAGGTACTCTTTAAACAAACATGGCCTTTTAATGGTTCTTTAGCAAAGAAAATGGTTCTATGTAGAACCATGAACACTCAAAGAACCTTTTGCATGGTTAAAGGGTTCTTTGCATCATGAAATTGTGCTTTAGATTGATGAAGAAAGTGCTGTAGATGATTCTGTATTGAACCTTTTTGGAAATGGTTTTATATAGCACCCAAAAGCATTCTTCTGTTGTTACACTGTCGAGCTTAAAACAGTAAAAGAACGTTTTTGGGTGCTATTTAGAACCATTTTCAAAAAGGTTCTATATAGAATCATCTGTAGCACATTCATGCACATTTTCCATCAATCTGAGGAACACTTTCACAATGCAAAGAACGCTTTAACCATGCAAAAGGTTCTTTGAGTGTTCATGGTTCCGTATAGAAACATTTTTTACGAAAGAACCTTTGAAGAACGATTAAGAGCGGACAGATACTCAAAAGGTGCTTCACTGTCCACTACTGATCAACACACACTGACCTCAAATATTAGCGCCTTAACTGACGCTGTATTACATACTATTATTAATAAAAATACACAAAATTATGGCTTCACGATTCCTGCTACCACTGTCTTTAGCTATGTATTATTGCTTTTCCACTTACAGTGTCTGAAACCAAGCAGATCTGTAAGCTTCAGTTACTCGTTAGCTACATTAGCTTCGCAGCTCCAGCTCAAAACTAAAGAAGCAGACTTCAAACACCAAACATGTCTTGGCTGATCGACTACATTTCAGGTAATGGGGACGTTGTGAAAATGTGATTTTTCACCAAACTCTTTCTTTTTACCCTCTGATGGTGGTGGGTTGCCCTCTTGTGTTCAGCCCACTTTAACATGGCATCTAATACCTTCATCCTTGGCCTGTACCATCCATGCCTCAAAGCTCGTAGCAGTAGGAGTGTAAGCATGCAAGGGTAGGGTCTGTCTGTGTCTGCGTGCCTGTGTTTGGTATAGTGGGTGTAGTCTTTGTTGGTCCTCGTCATTCATGTCGCTTTGCATGTCATTTAAATGTTGCCGGTTACTCTAAGTTCATGTTGTAAACCATAACTCTTGCTGACTGCTCCAGCAGTTTAGGGGTTAACTAATATGGAAGAACATGGGTCTTATGTGGTATATATGGTTCCCAGTTTTGGGTATATGCAAAACTTTTTGAATTTTCAAATGTTAACCTGCTGCCCTTAGCCAAGGAGCTAGTTTCATTTATGTTGAGTCTCCAGGCTTAGATAATGATTATAGTCCTACACAATAATACGTATCTTTCCTAGAGATGTACTGTATCGGTGTCTCGGAGGGGTCTTGGCAGGTTGAGCTGCTGTTGCAGTCGCTCTTTCTTTGGTTTAATATGCTTTTTTCCACTCTGGTCATTTTCCCCTGTGTCTGTTCTCATATCAGCTGGTGGAGGAGATCTGTTTTATACATTAATATAAATGTATTTTTTTATACAATCACTGTTTTTTTTTGTTTTTTTAAAAGCAGGGTTTCTCAACTTCAGTCCTGACGTCCGCCTGCACAGCTCCTGCTCTGACACACTTCATTGAGCTAGAATTTTAAGAAGCTAGAACTCCTGTAGTCCATCTGTTTCTCTGCATACTTTGTTAGCCCCCTTTCACCCTGTTCTTCGATGGTCAGGACCCTCACGGGGCCCCCACAGAGCAGGTACTATTTGGGTGGTGGATCATTCTCAGCACTGCAGTAACACTGACGTGGTGGTGGTGTGTTAGTCTGTGGATCAGACACAGCAGTGCTGCTGGAGTTTTTAAATACCTCAGTGTCACTGCTGGACTGAGAATAGTCCACCAAACAAAAATATCCAGGATTCTGTGACCACTGATGAAGGACTAGAGGATGACCAACACAAACTGTGCAGCAGCAGATGAGCTATCGTCTCTGACTTTACACCTACAGGGTGGACTGACAAGGTAAGAGTGTCTAATAGAGTGGACAGTGAGTGGACACAGTGTTTAGAACTCCAGCAGCACTGCTGTGTCTGATCCACTTGTACCAGCGCAACACACACTAACACACCACCACCACGCCAGTGTCACTGCAGTGCTGAGAATCATCCAACACCCAAATAGTACCTGCTCTGTGGGGCCCTGACCATTGACGAACAGGGTAACAAAGTATGCAGAGAAACAGATGGACTACAGTCTGTAATTGTAGAACTACAAAGTGCACCTATATAGTAAGTGGAGCCGATAAAATGGACAGTAAGTGTAGAAACGTGTCCACTTCACTTGTGTGATATAACATTTGTTGTTTGGATTTACCTCTTTAGAGTTTACAAAGACATCATTAAGAGATTCAATGGGTAAAAGCAATAAAAATCTTCAGTTTAATAACAGCAAAAAAAGGACAATGAGAAACAAAGGGGTCCAAATGTAGTAATGAGAATCGAGATAAAATATCACATTGAATTGAAACGTCACATTTTACTGCACCTTTTAGAGCTCGAATTGATCTACTAACTGAAATAAACATTGTGTATCTGCATAACAATTATGATTCTCATACATTTATGGACATGGTTTAAGGCAGTTTCATGAAAATGACCCTGACTCAGGTATTGGTCAGGGTCATAAGTTAATAATGTTGCAGGGAAACAGGTGGGCCTGTAGGATTGGAGTTTGGAAACTCTGATCTACACCAAAGTTCTTCAGTGTGGGCCACAGCTGCGCAGTGTAATGTGAAATAGTCTCTCTTTCTTATCTCATCCTTGCTCATTCTCTTCTTTGCTGAACCGAATTGAGACTTGCCATTTTAGCGAAAACATTAGCAAGCTACATACATCTGATTCAATTGAACAAGGAATCTTTATTCGAAGCAAAAAGAAGTGCTGTGGTCCACAGTTGGGATTTAAACATAGTAACAAGACTAATGGTTCCCAAGATGGCTTTGCGGTGTCCTATCTGTGCACTGTTGCCAGACTGCAGGACTAATGAGTGTTTGTCGTTATGGAACAGATGCAAAAGCTGGTGAAGGCAGCTAAGCATGGGACCAAAGATGGCCTGGAGAAAACTAAAGCTGCGGTGAAGAAGGGAAAGTCTTTCATTCGGACCAAGTCTTTCTGCCATGGTAGGGGCACTGCACAGTGTTTGCCTCATCTTTATACTCTTTTTCCTGTTTACTGTTTTCAGCCCCTCACATAGACGTCTTCACTTCTGCTGTTTAGTTCCAGTCCAGTGCTCAAACACCTGACTTGACAATCCGAACAAAAGACGTTTGGATTTTAGAGTCAGGTTTGTTAGCATGGGATTCAGATACAGATATTTTATTTAATGCTTGAGTATGCTTGGGTCCCTCAATCTGATTCAATTTCCAATCAATTTTAACATGAGATTGTAACAGTTTCTATGAATGTCACATTTGTGAGCATCTATAAACACATTTATAATATGCATTCATAAGGCATTATAAACATGGTTATAAATATTTATAAAAATGAATTACACTGAATTACACTTTATAGCCATGTTTATTATACATAATGAATTGTTAATATAATGCATTATAAGTAGTATTAATGACATGTTATACTGTCAGTGCCAAAGAAGTCAGTCCCAGCTTGGAGAGTGTGAAGTAAAGACAGATACAAAGTTGATTTACACCCGTGGACATCTAGCCCTGTGCTTTTCTTACCTAGCACTGTCACTTTAAATGTTACACTACACCACAGCAAACCAAGTACTCATCAGCCCCTCCCCTGAACCCGCTCTGACGTCACACTGAGCGTAAAGTTACTGTGGAGTGAAGGCCTGGAGAGGGAGAGGCGAGATAGTAGAGTGCTGTCATTTTAATTTGTTACCCTCACTGGTTCTAACATCAAGTGATGCTAATTTCTGCTAGCATTCTATTGGATATGCAGTGTTACGTTAGTGCCAAGCTAACGGTGGTGTACATTGACTTTCCCACATTGGGTAAAACACTGATGCAGCACTAGTTTAAACTCTGACATTTGAAGCCTGTAATGTGCTTTATTGTGAATGTTTTAGTGTTTCAGTAAATCCTTCAGTAAATACTTCAACTTGAAGCCTCACTCTTAACACTGGAGGAGGCTTTAGTACAGTACACTTCTCTTTACTTGCAGCAGACAAATACAGCTTGTGAGCTCTTATAATTTGTTATGAATATTACTTATAATGCATTATGTTAACAATTCATAATGCATAATAAGCATGGCTATACTGTGCCTTTTTATAAGTATTTATAGCCATGTTTATGATGCCTTATGAATGCATTATATCATGTTATGAATGTGTTTATAGATGCTTACAAACGTGACATTCATAGAAAGTGTTACCGAGATTGCTTTATTCCTTGGCATCTGGGAGCTGCCACAAGGCCTTCCTCCATAGGTGTAAACATGTACTTTAAGTGATTGGAATTGCTAAATGACATTCTGGTGCAGTCTTTTCTTGAAACAGTCCTTTATACAGAAATACTACCCTACCTAGCAGCTAGGGCTGGCACAAACGAGATTTTACAGGCTTTGAATAAGGGGTAGGCGATGTGACAAATATATTTTAACATGGTTTTTAAAGACATTTTCACAATACACAATACGTATCACGCACAGACATATTAAAAGCTCAGTGATTTTAGGTTTCACATAATGTACTGCAATAAGTCCAAATAAATAGGACTAACTGTGTTCTCTTTGCAATGAAGCAGGCAGCTGGTCATTACTCTTTAAGTATGGACGATATCCACCGTCATAATGTCCACCTCTGCTTTGAATTCTTGTTCTCAAACTCACCTTTTAAAAAAATAATCGTTACATTTCATAGTTAACCATAATTTTAAGTAAGCTTGTCACTGCAGTTCAAAATGCATCCAATAGGTGGCAGCAATGTATTATTAATCAGGCTGAAGTTCAGCTGCCTATGTGTCCTATATAGCTGTAGTTAGATATGTGATTGTAGCCCTCTTATTCATATACGGAGTCACGAAATCTAGATTCAGAGAGTTTAATAACTTAGAGATATTGTTTTTAGTCACCATCACAGTTTTATTGTATTTTCGAGTGAGTCTCACCTCCCATTTGAAACTGTTAGAAAGACCCTTAAGTTACATCAGGAAAGAAAACACTCACAATGCTAAACTAAACTGCACTGCATACATTTTTCCCACTTTAAACTCATGTCTGTGTTCTGCTGTGTTAGAGAGGAAGACGTCCTGCTTTGAGGAAGAAGAGTCCGAGCTCTTCATTGAGGTGGAGTGTTTTAATGTAGAGCCAGTGCTAGGCCCCGCCCCCGAGGGCCTCTCTCAACAACAGGTATACGCAGAGCACGTACTGTGCATGTATGCTAAATGAGCAGATTGATGCCTGACAGGACGATTGCACAAGCAGACACACATGTACACACAGCAGTCTCTCAGTTTTGCTCCCAGGCTTTTGTTTAACCATTTAGATGAACAGAATCTGAGTTCTCTTTGTATTTCCACACCAACAGGTGGTCAGAAGATGTATCCTGGAATCAATATTAGAGAGCGAGAAGAATTACTTGGAGGCGCTGAGGCGAATACTAGAGGTATCTTCGTGTCTTCATGGTGTTACTTTCCTGTCAATCCAATTTTTGTCAATCTGATTGAATGCATTCTGATTACAGATGAAGACTGAGGTGTTTAAATGCTCATTTTACTCAACAATCTGATGGAAAATCTCAGTTTTCATGCACACTACAAGTAATTCGATCCAAAATTGCATGCATGCGTAGAGAACCACTTAGTGTAGACGTTACCATGACAACAAACATCGCGTGAGTCCAGTCAGACTGAGACGAGCAGCAGTGCTTGTGTTTTTAATTCCTTTAAAATGATGTCAGACCAGGGAAAACGTACTTCACATGTACTTATTAAAGTAAGCTGGACGTCCGTCCCACTGACGTCTTTTAAAGATCAGATCATAAACTTTGTCTCCTCTGCAGACCAGTTTCTGCTCCGCCATGTTGGACGTTACAAACTTTTCCATTCCTTTTTCAAAAAGGTTCTATATAGAACAGTCTACAGCACATTCTCAGTCAATCTGAAGAACATTTTCTTGATGCAAAGGACTGTTTAATCATGCAGAGGGTTCTTTAAGTGTCCTTTGTTCTCTATAGAACCATTAACTTTACTAAAGAACTATTAAAAAAACCATCTTTTTTAAGTGTGACTGTACAGTAGTCAGAGCTCACCCTCATTTATTTCATTTACAAGTTAGTCAGTTTTCAGTGTTTGGAAAAAAGAAAACATTCACTGCTGTCGGAGCAAAACCTCATCTTAATTTTTGAGTTTTTGACATAATTTGTTTACATTATGTGTGAATTTCATGATCAATGGATCAAAAGAAACGACCCAGAATTGCTTGGAAAAAAAGTCTGGTTCCATTGACTTTCATTAAAAGTAAAGTATGTTTTTTCATTCTTCTGTAAAGTTACCATTTCGGAGATACAAGGTTTTGTTCTCACAGCAGTCATATATTAAATAGAAAATTACTCAGTTTACACAGTATTCAGAGTGTCCACACTTTTAGTTTCTTTTCAGGAGACTTTAAGAAGCGTTCAGTTTTTTAAAGAAATCTGCAGGCATGTTTTTTCACACCTCCAAAGTTCAGTCTTAGAAGCTGGTTGCATTTTCTGCTTCTCACAATCCATGCATTCCCAGTCACATTCAGTGATGTTGAGGTGTGGGCTCTGGGATGGTCAGCCCGTTGTTTAGATCTGTTTGATAAGTACAAGTATGTCTCGATCTTCTGAGCTGTGCTTGGGGTCATCATCTTGCTGTTGACTTCATTTCTTCCCAGTCAGACATTTTCCAGAGGGTGTTACATAATGTGTTTTTTTTTGGACTAATCGATGCTTCTGATGCCTTTTTTTAAAAAATAAATCATATATATCCCTTATACATCCCTTAATTTGCACTAAACCTCACAAATCCTCCACCATGCTTTACTGATGGTTGATGCTCATCACTAAATGCTGATTTTATACTTCTTGGAGGTCTTGGAGGCTTTCTGCTTTTTCCCCCTCATGCCAGGGGTCTTTAATTAAAATTCAGTAAGCTCCAATTAGAGAAAATATCGTCAAGCAAAGGTCCAGAACATCATAATGTCCAACTTGCATCTGATTCAGTGCAGTATACTATATACTGTAAGTAGTCTAGTAGTTATATCAACGTCTTATGTAGTCGACAAACTGAATGTCAAGTCAAATAAAGTACACTTCAGTCATATTTCAACACATTTATAGTCAGTTTTCTCTTTTTAGAGCACGTCATGTGAAATAACTTCCGTCTGACTCACTTTCTTCTCTGACTGCTGTTTCTCACCTCTTCCCTCCTCTGTGTGTGCTCACTCGCTCGAGTCTCAGTGCTCATCGTAATGCACAGGTCTGATTGGCTGAGTAGCGTCATGTGTGATATATTACAACGCATGCGATTGGTCTGTGAGTCTCCCGGGCCGCTAAAGTGGTACCATAAAGGCTAGAAGCTACGCCGGTTAAAATAGGACCACCCAGTCGAAATGAAATAATAGTTTATCGGTTATAGGTTCAGGTCCGCATAGGACAGCGTCTGGGTCCGGACTCGGACAGCGGTCCACCTATTAGTGGCCTCTGCCTCATGCTGAAAAATAAATAACTTCTGGCTGTTTTGACTGGAATCAGAATTTAACAAACTGAATTACTGAAGAGAACAGTGTGTTGTACAGTGTCAGAAACCACAAGCAAGTCTATTTGAGATTACATAACAGTTTGACACAGTTTGAGGCCACTGGATGATGACTTAGGCATGCAGTTTGCACAATGCTAACAGGTGGCTATAAGCTTCCATCACTTATTGGTGATAAACTCTCAAACCAGATTTAGGACACCAACCACATCTCTGAAATTTAGGATAAGTGGAAAGCTGTATAAATTTTGACGTTTGGCTAAACCATCTCTTTAAGTCTTCTGTCTCTGTTTTCTGTTGCAGCAGTATGAGAAGCCTCTGCTGGAGATCGAGCCGCGGATGCTGAGTGAGAGAAAATGCAAGATGGTGTTTTATCGCGTGCGGGAGATCCTGCAGTGTCACGCCCTGTTCCAGATCGCGCTGGCCAGCCGAGTGGCCGACTGGGACAACCTGCAAACCATTGGAGACGTGTTTGTGGCCTCGGTCAGTTCTGCATAGAAAAGGGGCTCGATTTTCATGGGAAAAGTGAAACACGCACACATTCAAACATCTGTCCATATCCAGCTGTGCAGCGCTTAGTTTGTATATTCAGAGCTCTCTGGAGAGCTCTGAATGATCGTAGCGCATTAGAATTGCCGGAATTCACAGTAATGTCATTATTACCTGCTTTGGAGAGCATCTTCCATTATTCACTCCTCATCTCCTATGGTTCACAACAATAGTGCCTTTTAGTTCAAAGAATGTTGCTCAATATGAACTCTTCTGCAGCCAGCAGAGATGGATTTCTATCACCCATGCTTCAGGATTACTTGTAAAAGGGACTCAAAGGCAGTTCAGAGTTGTGATTCAGTGACAGGTACATTATGCACTGCTTTTTAAAACTGAAAAACCTGTTGAGCACCACACTTAAAGCCTGATCACATCATGAAAAACAGATGCAATTTATAAAATACTGGAAGTCTTTTCTAGAATTTGGAGAATGCACAAAGAGGAAGGGAAGTGGAGTTCTCAAGCAGTAGCAACAGTTAACCCTCTACTGCACGCATTATGAGAGCAATTTAAAAAAAAATCAGTTAATCTTTTCTTGCATAAAATCGTCCTTGATTTATTTTTTCAGACCTGGTTATTAAATTCAAGAACATTAAAAAAATAATAATGTGTGCAGGGGTTCTTTCAGAGTATGTTGTCTTGAAGCAACAATGGGAAGAAATGAAATAGAGTTGTGTTCCATGAAAGTTTAGATCTGGCTTGTGGCTGGCTGAATCCATTCCACTGTCGCACAATGTTGCTTCTAGACAACAAACATATTTCTGCAACATCTCGCAACAAAAAAATTGACACTCAGTGTTTTAAAAAGAGGTCTAAATGCTCCCACTAAGAGATATTATGACCAAGCACATGCTTTTTTATTGACTTACTCAAACATTTCCCTTTATTGTTAACCCTATTGTTGTCTTTAAATATGTATAATGTTATTGGAAAGTGAGGAAAATGAGTTTGTTGCCCTGAGGCAGAATCGTGCAATAGAGGATTAATTTATCATTTTTGTTTTAAGCACTGCAACTACGTCCAAATGTATTAAAAAAGGCTGTAAATGAACAGGCTAGAAAACACCAAGATATACAAAAAACAGCTTTAAAGAGTCGCTGAAGTACTTAGTCATTCCCAGACTTTGTTACTGACCACCATGTCTTTTGTTTAACCTCTGCGTTTTCATAATTGCTAGTTGTATAAACTTTTGTGCTCTGACACAAGCAAGACGAGCTGTTCTGCCACTATTATGATGCTCATTTTATGTGTGTTTCATGACTTCAACCCTGAATCTGATTGGTAGATTGTTTTTTAATGCATCTTTAGTGCAGAAAAGTTGGCTGGCTTTGAATGAAGATTTTATGTGGCTGTGAAAGACAGCGTTAACTTGTATGTGGTTGTGAATGTGTTTTTTTATGTGTAAATAGTCCTTTAGGCTGCTAAATGTGGATCCAATTCAGTCTCATTCCATGTAATTGTTTTTTACCAAACTATGTGCACAGAGTCATTAAGTGCCTTTTAAAAATGCTACATTCTCTCACTAACCCTTTTGCTTTTTTTTGGAAAACCACAGTTTGCTTAAAAGCTTTCTTAGTAGTTTTTTTTTCCCTCAGTTGAGTATTTTGGAATCTTTGGGTTTCTTGTTAAGTTAATTCTATCCTTCCTGAATTTACACCGTACAGCTTTTTAGCTTTATTGTAACTTTTCTTAATATTTCTTTATCTCATTCCTCCTTCCTCAGTTCTCCAAGTCCATGGTGCTAGACGCGTACAGCGAGTATGTGAATAACTTCAGTACGGCTATGGAGGTGGTGAGAAAGGCCTGTGCTTCTAAACCCTGCTTCTTGGACTTCCTCAAGGTCAGAGAAACATACATGTGCTTATAAATCACTATAAGAGTATTAACTGTGCTTAGGTACACACAACTATGCATAAATGGCTTTTAAATAAAGCTGTGTGGATTGTTGTGGATAAACCAGTGTAACTTCTTAGCCGTTATGACTGCGCTTGGTTCCTTGACAGGCAGTCACATGGTTCAGTTTCCTAAAAAACTGTCCAAAAAGTTGATAATCTTTGAATAGCGCCTTAATGGAAGATATGTTGGATGAAGCCCTGATCTGAACCAGAGTTCTGTTTTACCTTGTTTTGTAATGCAGTGAACACCAGTGCTTATTCTGTTCATGGCACATTAATGGTAAGTCTCTCTGTGCATCTTAATGTCATATAATAGGGGTAGCCAATATGATAACATGATAGGGTCCTTTCAATAAATGACATCACAGAAGCTTTTCTCAGCAAACTGTGGGTATTGTCACCACGCCCACAACATTTGTTGTGTTTTATTAAAAGGAGATTTAGAAGCAGCTCTTAAGTGATGTATATTTTAGGGCCGAATGATTTGGGGAAAATATGAAATTGTGATTATTCTGAGCAACGCTGTGATTTAAATTGCACTTATTTTCTAGAAGTTAAGCGCCAAGGCTGTCATGAGGAACGGCTTGATGCATGAACAATGCAATTAATTCCAATATAAAAAAAAATCTAATCTAAAAATAATTATAAAAGAATGATCTTTCAGACCTACTATTGATCTAAGATCTCACCTCATTGTTAATCGTGATGACGCCAGGATTCCAAGAGAGAAAAATTGTCCCTATTTGAAATGTAAAAGGATAAAAAGATTGTAATCATAATTTTTGGAAGCATTTAGTTAAACATGCTCAGTGGATTGTGTCTGTTCCAAATTATCAAACATTTCACACCAAAATATCATTATGATCATGAAAATGTCAAGTGCTATTATATTTTTGCCATATTGTCCACTCCTGTCATAACTCTTGCTGCAGCATGGTACTGACAGGGGCTGTGTCCCAATTTAGGGGCTGCATCCTTCAAAGGACGCGGTCTACGAAGGCTGAACTGAAGTGAGACGGATTTCCTGTTTGCGTCACAGCACCGCTGTTCCTGCCCTTACCGCTGCATCACGAAACGCTGCTCCTGTGAAGTTCTTTTAAAATTCTTTAAAGACAGAGCCAGAAAGTTAGATTTTAGTTTTTTATTTTTTCATTAATTAGAGCTGGAGATGCTTCTCTTTCTCAGCTGCTTGCTCTCTAAAACAAAACAAAACAAAACATTAGCGTTTTGCTAAGTTTTGCTTCAGACGACATTGGCTTTTTTTCGCCTTGGTATCATTAGCTATTCGACTCAGTTTAAACCCAATACTCACATTTAAAGTGTGTCCTCAGCCACCATTTGCTCCTCTGCTGATGTTCTCAAATCCTCCCTGGCACACAGTGAACCTCAGGATATGTTGGCTGGCAAAGGATCCACCCTTTGTATACTTCTTTGCCATGGAAAAGGAGGACACATTTCTCGGCTGCATATGAGCCTTTGAAATGGGACAGCCTAGTCGCGCCGCTGTGACGCAGTCAGCCTTCAAAGCAGCCTCCGAAGGACGCAGCCCCTGAATTGTAACACAGCTATGGTTACTGTCTTGAATAAAGATGGCAGGTCATAACGATACCTTCTGACTTTGTCTCCCAGCAACGTCAGGAGTGCAGCCGAGATCGAGTCACACTCTACGGCCTTATGATGAAACCTATACAGAGGTTCCCCCAGTTCATTCTGCTCCTGCAGGTATTACATACAGACACCCACACCAACCTCAGCTCTGCATTACAAACCTGGGGCCAGATTCTCAGAGCTAGTTCTCCTGACCCTCTTAGCCTAAGACTGCTCTGTGACCAACTAATGACCTTCCACATGCCTCATTCTATAAGAAGGATCGGTAGTCATGGTGTAATTCTTCAAAGACTGCATTATAACTTTTTTGTGTTTTATTCATTTTCCTGATGTCTGTTTGTGACATTTGTAATGTTTTATGTACCAAAACAGTCATAATTCATTGATACATGACCATTTTTCAACCTGTTTATACCGTTTATTGTTCTTTTTCTCTCTCTCTCTCTCTCTCTCTCTCTCTCTCTCTCTCTCTCATCAAAAAGGCTTGTTACATGTGTTTAAGACTGATATGTTAATGAGCTCCGTTCTCATTGGATACCCTCTATTGGGTCTCAGAAAGCAGTCCAGGCTGAAACACTCTGTATAACTTCAGTGTGAATGGGTGGAGCTAAAATGCAATGGGCTGGATATGCAAATATATGTAAATTAACCAGCTTATGTGGCATCAAAATATGAATTCCAAGCTGGCTGTGGAGGTTTAATTTTCCAGTATGGAGTGTTTGGACTGTTAAGTAAATGGTACATTTTGAAACTTTAGCAATATTTACCTTCTACCTCAAACAGTTTCATTTAAAAGGAAGGAAAATTATTTTTTCCATGATATGGACTTTTTAAATGTGGCTGTGTCAGCTGTTTTGCTATATGCAGCTAGAAAAGAGGGTTCTTCAAGGGTTTTTTAGTAGAGGAAATGGTTCTTTAGAACCATGAGTTATATATAGAACCATTTCATGTTTTAATGGTTCTTTGCAGGGGCTTTCGAGTGGCACAACTGTCTAAGCGTTGGCGCTATCATCAGGAGATCGCAAGTTCGATCGATCCCTGGTGATGCTACAGCTGTCTGTGGCCAGGAGTCCAAGATAGCACAATTGGCCTCGCTCTCTGAGTGGGTAGGATGGCCCTTCATCTCCCCCTAATCACTCAGCACGATACTAGTCAGCGCAGGCATCTTTTAGCTGGCGTAACAGAACTGGCGATTAGTGTTCTCCTCCAAGTGTGTTCAGCTGTCCAATGACGTTGTGTTAGCAGCAGTTCGAACAGATGTAGTGGCGCTTCACAGGTCTCGGAGGAAGCCTGTGTTTGCCTTCACCCTCCTAGCACTGGTGGTATTGCATGACTGGGAGAGTCCTAACTATACGACTGCATTGGGAAGAAAATTGGGGAAAAAAATGGTTCTTTGCATGGTGAAATGATCTTTCAGATTAATGGAGAATGTAATGTATATGGTTTATAGCATTTTGAAGCATTTTGGTACAATATAGAACCATTTTCAAGCATAGAACCATAAACAACACATTCTCTATCAGTCTAAAGAACCATTTCTGTATGCAAAAAAAATGCATGTGTATACCAGTGTGTATACCAGTGATAGACAGTGTTTCAGTGTACACGCAGCCAATTGGAGGAGAGTGAAGAAGCCCACATGGTACATCATTGCCCTTGGCTCAGTGTAAACAGTGCAGACATTTATTTTACATTATTCTTTTAGTTTTATATGTGTGCAAATTGTTAATGCCTGATTATTTAGGCATATAAATGCGTAACTAAATGGGAAAAGATGGCAAGAACTTCAGTACAGTTAAATCAGAATGATCAGACAAGTGCAATGGATAATTTTTCATTATTTCATATTATCATTTATGTTGTATTATAACAGTTCATTATGAACTGTTATTGTAATTACTTTCTTCTGTAAAGGACATTGTTACCTGTGCTTTTTAAAAAAGCGATATTTAATTAAAATCTTCATCCTTTTTTTTTACTGTTATTAAGCAAAGTCAGCATTACTCTAGGCTAAATTTAAATATTAATCTTTTGATGGCATTTCAGTTGATTTTCAGTGTGGTTTACAGTAAGTGTGAGTGTTCTCTTCACAACATTCTGTCCTGGTTTCATCCAGCTAGGGCTGCTCTGAGGTGATCCTAAATTTCACTACTGTCACACCCACAGATAAGTGAAAAAACGGCACCTGAAATGTTTAGAGAAGCTGGAACAGCCAGTTCTTACCAAGGCTGGGAAGGTCTGATGGTCCTTGTGGGTTATGTCGGTCATAATTTCTTTGAGAATCCATCCTCTGGCTTGGTTTCCTTATTACATCCCAAGTGTATAAACTGCTGAAATTTTACTCCCCTCTTGTGCTGGCTGATAACATCCAGCAGGGGGAGCACATTCCTTACTTTCCACCATCAGGCTTTACATTCAGATATAGTTTCATTCAGTTAGTTTTCTAATGAGGTCTGACTGTTTCACCATCACAAGTTTATATATTGTATATAAACCTCATCAGTGGTGTGTGGCCTCTTGCTCCATGTGCAGGACATGCTGAGGAACACTCCGGTGGGCCATGCTGACCGACTGCCTCTGCAGATGGCTCTGACTGAGCTGGAGACTCTGGCTGAGAAACTCAACGAGAAGAAGAGAGAAGCCGACCAGCGCTGCGAGATCAGGCACATCGCTAAGGCCATGAACGAACGCTACCTCAACAAGGTACGGGGGGAATCCGGGGTCATGGAAAGCTCTCCTGAAACCGGCTTTGCGGTCATTGTTTAATATCATTGAGGTTCAGTTTGCCTCCACATGGGAGTATGTCCATTCCAGCTGTAGTGAGGTTTGCAGTGGTTTTGGTTTTGGGTTTGTGTGCAGTGGAATCTGATTGGTTTTAAGTAGAAATGGCACAATAACATATTTACTTTTCTGATACCAGCACCTATATTGAAACCTTCAGTATCAGCCATTACCAATACTGATATTTCTTTTCTTTTAATACTATTATGCTTCAAAATGAGCCATTTTTAAGTGAAGCATCATCTAAAAGTGGCCTAACATGGACTATTTCAGGCTAAATTTGTTGCTATTTCCCTCTGATACCTGATCCAGCATTTTCTGCTGATATGAGCCTGATACTGATACCTGGTATTTGATCGTAGTCATCTCTAATTTTGGGCTTGCCTCATGAATGACTGACAGCTGTACCCTTTGGAGCATTGTATTACTTTGTTGTAAGGAAATAAGTAGCATTTATAGTATTTAGCAGACACTGTTATTAGGGCTGGACAATATGACTATGTATATCATTATCATGATAAATTATGTCACAATACAATAAGCTTTTCCAGAACATGTTGTGAGTATCATCAGTACTTGTAGAACACTGATCAAATGCATGTTTCATTATAAAGAGAGCAAAATTAGTCTCATTTAAGTGGATTTAGTGCAACACAGTGTGCTAAATATTGCATAAAATCATGTTCACAGTTTTTGATAGTATTTTGTAAAATGTACTGCTGGTTCTGTTTTTTTCTCTGTTCCAACTGATCACATGTCTGGAAAAATAATTCTGACATTTGAAAATTTCTTGAAGTATCGCAGTATTATATTTTTGCCATATCGCCCACCTCTAGCTCATATCCAGAGTTCAAAATACCCTTGAGCTAAGACACAGCTAGAAACAAATCAGTGCTGATACCCAGATAGAAAGATGCACCATACAGGAATTTGGACATTACAGAAGTGCAGTACAAGACATTTCAAAGTGCTACATTAGTGTTTGTTTGAAAGCTTCTCAAAGAGGTGGGCCTTCAGTCAGCGCTTGAAGACAGCAAGGGACAGTGGCAGTTTGTTCCACCACCTGGGAGGTCATCGAGAATCCAAAGCTTTGTGCAACTTCAGACAGAAAAATCTATGAGTCCTCAGTGAGATGTCAAAAATCAGGGAGAGGACCTGCAGTTCCAGGGATGTATAGCAGCTTCGTCTTGCTGGGATTCAGTTTCAGGTGGTGGGCTGCCATCCAGGTAGTTTCACAGGGCTGGACATGATCTGGGGGACAACCATGAGAGATTTTGGGTGGTAACAATAAATATATATTTCTCTGACAGAGTAACATGTTGGCACATTGTCCAATGAGGGGAAAAGACCTTGTGTAGAAGATGACGAGTTTCTACCAGCATCCAATGTCGGACCGGGTAACGCAGGGGTCGGCAACCCAAATGTTAAGAAGAGCCATTTTGTCCTTTCAGCAAAGATCGAACAACCTTGGTAGTCATAACATTTTATGCCCATTTTACCATCTTGGCTGTAAATGTGTCTCAGTATGTGCTAATGGGTTAGTACAGGCTAACGCATTTAACATACATGAAAATGCAGACTTACTTTGCTCTGCTTTAAGCTTTAGCTCAGCTATAGCTGCTTTTCTCACATCTCTGGCAGGAAACTTGTCCAAAAGTAGAAAAGCTTTCTTGTAAAAAGTCTCTCAACGTTTGATTTTTATGAGGCTGAAGTCAGCATCTACTTCGCCAGCTTCTTGTTCAAATTTTCCCGTTCCACCTTAAATGGTGCCTGAGGTGCCAGAATGTAAAATTCGAACAAGAAGCTGGCGAATGAGAAGCTGACTTCAACTTCGCCACTTTTTACTGTTTGACAGTTTCGTACCAGAACGTATCAGAAAACCAGCTGGAGTGATTACAAACGCAAGTAAGTCCACTCGTCTCCAAATTATCGATGTTTAAATCTTTCTCTTTGCCGTTTCGTTAGCTACTAGCTAGGCGAGATTGTTGTCTGTGTTGCTATGGTGACCAGCAGTCTGCACACCAATCTTCAGGGTTAAAGGGTGAATTAGCAGTTCTACATTAACTCCAGCGTTTAAGACCATTTATTGTTAAAACTGTGCTGAACGATCAGCAGAGCTTTATTTTACTGTAAAGGAGGATTATTTTATTTTTACCTACAAATCTAACTTTTGCTGTGGAGCCACAACAGGACAGTAAAAGAGCTACATGCGGCTCTGGAGCCACATGTTGCCGACCCCTGGGTTAGCACGTTAGCTCGTTAGCTCATCTGGAAAGGCAGCTTCCTGTACTCTTGCAAGATAAAAACCTGCAGATTTCTCTCAGCTATTACTGAATAATAAAATCAAATTTGAACCCGTGCTATGATCTAAAAAGTACACCTACAGCCAGCTGTATGCCAAATTTTGCTGGAGACCACTTTTCTCCCCTTTCTGTTTTTTTTTCCCTGGGGTTAACTGGGTATTCGTTTTCTTACAGATACTCAAATATCAAAGTTAGTGGGAATGCACGTCTCCCATTATAGTGTTCTGGATGGTAAAAGAGCAGGGTTTAGAGGAATTAGTGGCAGGTTTACTCTTGTTTTGCCTCATTCCAACACTAAAAGTTTAGCAAGTTGTACCCAGACATGTTTTCTTGTTACAAGGTCACATCTGCCCCCGTGAGACTACCATCCAATAAGGATATATGGTAGCCAGACATGCCGAGATGTGACTGGAACGTGGGTGTCAAAAGGTGGGAAAGAAAAAGATTATTTGGGTATCATCAGTATAGCAGTGGTAGGAGAAGCCGTGAGAGGATTACATCAAATTACATCAGCAAGAGGAAACTTTGCTCATACTGAAGCTGGTAAAGGTCCATTTAGCACTGAGATGCAGTAAGATCAGGCTGTTTTCTGCTAGCCTTCATTTATTGTTTGCCACATCATCAGTCCTAGGTAAAGTATTCCTGGAAACCAAGACTTTCTGGCCTTTGTTCATTGGCTCCTGTGTGTGTGTGTGTGTGTGTGTGTGTGCGCGTGCCTTGCTGATGTCCAGATTTGTCATTTGGCGAAGCGTAATCCCAGCAGCACAGAATGCCTATAAAGAGTCTGGCTGTTCTCAACCTTTTCCTGCTCTAATTAATTTCTCTAATTAACAAGGATTCAGCTTCAAATAAAGCCAGCATGCAGGATTTAGAAGTCCCCATGTATCCTGCACTCTGCTCCTGCTGTACTAATCTGTAGGTGCTGTGGTGTATTTAGCAGGGCTGTGTGCATTGGCTGCTGGGATGCTGCACATATTTGAGTGAATTTCTCTCCAGGGGCGTCTGGTATTCAGACATTCATCAGCTCGTGCGTCTCTCATGGCCAAAACAGCTGTGCTGCTATGTTACGTTACACTGCCTCTGGCCTGAAATCAGCACCCTCACCTGTGTGTGTGTGTGTGTGTGTGTGTGTGTGTGTGTGTTTGTCATATTTGACCCTAAAGAAGATTTGTTCCATTTAAAAAGCAGTGCATTTTGTTAGAGCTAGAGGAGTGGACAAAACAAGCTTTATCTGAATGTCTTTAGTACTTTCAATAATTCAGTATCAGTGATTTAAACAAAGGCTTCACATGAACCTCAACATGAAACTGCATTCCACAGTGATGGAGTTTCAGTGCAGTTTCCCGTTTTCATCACCGACATCCAGTGAGAGCAACAGCGACTGCATGTTCCAGCCAATGAGTATATCATGCATATCAGATGTGAATCATTTACCAAACTGTTTCAAAGTTAGAGTTCAAATGAACCAGACTTTAGACTAAAATCCTTTTTCTTTGAGTGACTCGGTTCTTTTAATTATGTTTATTTTATTAAAGGAAATAATTATACATTCCATTTTGTCGCTGTCAAAATAATCATAACACTACCGAAGCTTTACTAAGTGTTTCAGGCGTGACCGTTTGACAGGTTTAGCTCATTTTGAGCAGAACTCAGTACATGACTAGCAGCTTTGAACAATTGTGAACATCATAATTTTCATTAAAACACAAAAACATCACTTAATTGCAGGAAATCTATGTGTTTCAGTACTGATGGTTCTTAATGTTCCACGCTGATTTACCAAGTTTGGGACACATTTACTTCCGAACGATGGGATCCCCTCGCTCGCCATGTGGTCATGAGGGACAGGGATGCAGTCACTTCCTGCTCTAAAATGCAGGGCTGTGGCTAAAATAAGACCCCGCCTATGGAGTTTCAGTAGTCTGTTTCAGTAATGACATGAAAATGTTGGGCAGCATGTTTTAAATTTCATGAAACTCAAAAGATCTAAAATTTTCAACTTCATTTTAAAAGAAAGCTAAAAGATCTCTTAAGAGAAAGAAAACCTTGAAAGCAAAATACAAAAAAATAAGAAATTTACGTATTAAGACCGCAACCTCTCAGTAGAAAACACCTTACAAATGATGATTTTGTACATATTTAGCTTATTAAAATTTCATTCAAATATATCATGATGTCAGTTTTGTAAATACCTAAGATATGAATACGTAGTTGTTTTTTTTTTTTACTGTGGGACCGCAGTTCGAACTAATTCGGTACAGTAGTCCATGTACCATATTATCGCTTTTATCTTAAAAATGGTGACTTTTTAGGAAAAGAAAGAAAACATTATTAACTTGTAATGGAAGTTAATGCAACAAGTTTACTTTTCAAGCAGTTTTGGACCTTTTTATTGGTCTGTTTGTTATTAAATGAAGACACACTTCAGACTTTAAACACTACAGTAGAAAAAAAAGTGCCGTTAATAATTCATCATGTTAGCACGTTTATTTTAGAATTTAAAGAGAATGTTTTTAACTTCACATACGCAGGTGTGCAGTTTACACGTTGTATTTGGATGCTACTGCTGCACCTGTACCAAGATATTGTCAGTTAATTATACATTAATTATTGAGCTAAGTGGCCAGCTGACCCTGGCTATCAGTGTAGCAGTTTATTTGATTGGTGTTATTTAGAGACAGAACTGTTTTTATTTTATTTATGAGTTTAAAATGCCAGATTGGTCCAGATCGGTAAAGAGCAAAGCAAGATGTGATGACGTGCCTAGCCAGAGACAAAAGCTTTTTTTTTTTAAACTGTCACCCTTTAAAGTGGCGTGCTCTGCTCTCTCTCTCCTTCATATCGCAGCTCCTGAGCAGCGGCACCAGGTATCTAATCCGCTCAGATGACGTGGTGGAGACAGTGTATAACGACCGTGGTGAGATCATCAAGACTAAAGAGCGACGACTGTTCCTCCTCAACGATGTGCTCATGTGTGCCACGCCCAACCTGCGGTAAGCATACAAGCAGACCCAAGCACAGACCTATAGCTGTCTCTGCTTCAGCTGTCCTCGCTCCACGTGCACAGGCCCACTATGCCATGTCACTTAAAGTCTTATCAGAAAAAGAGGTGTCACGATAGCAACATTTTGGTAGCCTGTACATGTGCATGTAATATGCGCAGTGTCCAGCCTGCTGGGACACTCAAATCTAACCCTAGAACAGCTGTTTCTTCAGTTCCCAACTGTAGCTTTAATCAGTCTTTCCTCTGTGCGGTCAGAGCAGACATCGGTTTGATTTCGCTGCAGTAGCACAGCACAGATATTGATCCTGTCTTTGACTTCTAGTGTCAGTGAACTTCATCAGAGGCACAGGGTCTGTTGTGCATTTGGAGTGTGGTACCAGCTGCATAACTGACTCACTGTAAAATCATCCACAGTTACAGTCTGTGGATTTTATCTCAGAATAACTTTGTGTCAGCTGTTTGTGCCGTTTACTTATAAGTAAGGACCCTTTATGCTACACTTCAGTTCAGCTTTAAAAATGCTGAAACATACAGCTGAACATTACAACGTTTTGCAGAAATGCCGCTGTGATACAGACAGTGTTCGGACTATCAGTGCTTAATCATATTTACAATTGAACCTTTATACTGTACAGACTGTACGTGCCATTAAAGAAGAACGCACAGTGCCACTGATGCGATGTGCCGAGGCTGTGCAGTAGTAAAAGTTTTTTGAGTGCTAATAGCTCCCCCTGTGGTGAGTCATCCTGCTAAAAGTGAGAGAGTGAGTGAAAGAAAAAGAGACACAATAAAGGAAGAAAGAAAAGGAAGGAGAGAGAGAATAAACAAAATACAGAAAGAATGAGAAAGAATAAAAAGGAAAGAATAGAAGAGAAAGAGTGAAAGAAGGAGAGAATGATTGAAAGAAATGAAAGCAGAAAGAATGAAGAGAAAACGAATGCCAGAAAGGTGAAGAAGAATGAAAGAATGCAAGCAAGAAAGACAGCATGAGAGAATGACTGATAGAATGAGAGAAAGAATAAATGAAAGAAAAAGATAAGAGAGAAAGAAAGAATGAAACAAATAATGAATGAAAGAGAGAGAATGAGAGTATGAAAAAGAAACAGGGAATGAAAAAGAAGAGAGAAAGAATACGAGAGAGAATGAAAGAGAAAGGTTTAATGAAAGAGAAAAAATGAAAGCGAAAAAGAAAGAGAAAGAATAAAAGAGAGAGTGAAAGAATGTTTGATAGAATGAGAGAAAGAATAAATGAAAGAATGAGACAAACGTTGAAAGAAACTGAGAGAAATAATGAAGGAAAAGCAAAAAAAGAAAGAGCCTATGATCTGCTTTGCATCTAGAAAGGTAACTTAGTGGTTACTTAGTGGTAGCTTGTGGTTCTTTTAGCAAGGCTATAGAAGAACCACTTTTGGTTCCCTAAAAGAACATGTCAGAAAAAGAGATTTGAGTGTGAAGAACCTACTAAAGCTATAAAGAACCTTTATTTGATACCAATATAAGGGATCTTCCTAGAACCTTTCATGAATTTTTTCAAAGGTTTTTCGTTTTAGTTTTTCTCGTACATCTTATTTACACAAATGCTTGACGAACCGTGGGTTAAAAGGTTTTAAGGCATTGCACAAAGAACCCTTTTTGGCACTGTTTATTTTTCAGAATGTACTAAACTCTGTACTACAAAAAATTGAACTTTCCTGTGTGGATCAGTAAAGTTTACTTAATCTTATCTTTCTCTTCTTCTTTCTCTGTCTGTTCTCTCTGTCCCTCGCACTGGCTCTTCCCCTGTCTCACACCCCACGCTGACCTGTCTCTTCCCTTCCCTTCATCTCCACATCCCGTCTCTTAGCTCTCCTCAGGAAGGTGTAGGTGGTGTTGTCAGTGCGGCTGTTCCTTCGGGTCAGCGGTTCCTGTTGAAGTGGAGCGTTCCTCTCAGCCTGGTGGAGCTGGTGGAGTTCGGCTCCTCAGAGGAGATGGGGGACTCTGCTCGATTCCCTGCCCCTCACTCTGGAGAAAAGGTCGTCATTAACGCCAAGCCAAGTGAGTCTGAGTCTGTCACGCAATCACTAACAGTACAGATACACACAGTCAAAAGTTTAGGCATCTCTGGTCATATGATTTATTATTTTATTTTTTTTATTTAGTTCACATCTTCTAGAGAACACAGTTCTGCACACTTTAATACACACTTACTGTTTATTTGCAGAAATTACTGTAAAGAAATTCATAAACACATTTAAGCAGAATCATGTCGCCTTTTTTTGGATCATCTTGGCTCATTTTATGGAGGAAACACACATTAGCTTTGAAATGAATGGATTGTATATAAAAGGGCTTTTATTTCTATATTGGGTCACATAATATAGAGGTAAATATCCTCAAATGTGAGGATTTTCTACACTATAAGCTCATAGTTTCTTTTCAAATCAACAGTAAACACTGCAAAAATGGTCACTCCTGCTTTGGTGCTGCACTTCATATACGTTTACTCATGATGTGACATCTAGATTGTAAGTAACCTTAACCCAGGACATGTTTGCATTAAGTCAGTGTTGTCATTTTATAACACCCAGCAGGACCCTTTTCCTACCGAGTCTATATAAAATGCAGGGAACGAGAATGTTAGGACTGTACTCTGAATGAACAAGCAAATGTTGGTGTACCTTTTTCTGGTGTTATTGAAATGATGAAATGATGATTAGGCGATGTAAATCAAATAACCCCACATTTACACAAACATTAACATCCATTTAACCCACAACCCCAGTTCCACAACACAGCCAACTCACACAAATACAGAAAGAGAGAAAAAAAATAGATTTGAGTCCATGTGGGCCTGAGGCCTCACTCAAGAGTCCCAAAGTGTTATAAAAAAAACAGTCAAACCAGTCCTTTTTGGAGAGACAGAGAAGAGTGGAAGCTGGGTGATAACGAGTGAATCCCATGGTAGAATGTCCATCACACCCCTTTTATTGAATCTTCTCAGGTTTGTCCTCTTACATGCCTCTCGTGTCACCAGCAGTTCACAAATAAGCACCAAAAAGTCCTTCTGCAAACAGAGGTATTTTTAAATGAATTTACAGCTGAAAAACTGAAAATATGGCCTGCTAACATAAACCTTATCTTTAGCATAAGCCTCAAACAATCCTCAACACGATGTTTGTACCCAGCACAAAGTTAAGAAAAAAAACATTCAACACCTACTGGATGAGAAGGGAATGTAAGTTCATCAAACAAAGGACTGTGTAAGTTGAACAGCAGGGGCTTCTCCACAACAACAGAGGCTTGTTTGTTGGAGTCTGGACTCACCATGCTGCTCAGCTTCTTCTTTGCCACCATTTTATGGGATTCTAGAAGGATGGATGTATAAAATTATATCACCTCATAACCAAACCCAAAATGCAAATACTGGAACAGGAGGTAAATCTGGTACAATTTTTTGGCAAAATTGTTTTAGGGTTCTAACTAAAGTCTGAATGTTCTCACTGTTTGCTCTTCTTTGGGGAAAAAATGTGGTGAATGTTATGATCTTATATGCAGCGCTGGAAATAACGCATTACTTTGTAATTCCACTACTTTTGGCAGTAATGAGTAATAAAACTAATAATAATGGTTGTAATAATAATATAATAATACATTTAATATATTATTAAATAATATTTATAGAGCACTTTTCATACCGGTGGCAGCTCAAAGTGCTTTATATACAGGTGAAAATGTTTTACAGTAATAGACAAAAAAATCTAATTTAAAAAGAAATACATTGAATTTTACGTGATTAAATACGTTATGTATCTAATTATTAATTACCATTTCAAATTAAATAATGCAGTTACAACTACTGAAATTTAAAAGGGCTCGTTACTTTTGTCTTGCTTGAAAATATTAATGGACAGCTGTAGACTACAGCAGACATATGCAGCCTGTAAGTAACAGTATTTATCAAACTCGCTCTTGTGACTGGATCACCTATCAGGATCCTGGGAAAATCTGCTTTTAGTTACAGTGTTACTGCTACAGTGGATTACATTACAGGAAACAATTTTATAAATAGTTTTATTTGTAAAGATATTATAGTTTTTCTTACTTCTTATTGCTTTTATTTACTTTTTCCTTTGTTTTCATTGCATATTTTATTGCTGTTTTATCTCCCATTTCTTATTTAAGCCTTTATTTGTTTTATCTAGAAATGTTCTTTGATCACGTAGTCTTGTTAGTCTTGATTTGTTTTTATCGATAACATTTCATTTCAACTTTTTCAATTCCTATTTAACGTGCTCAGCTACACTGTAAATGAGGGTCACCCTGAAGGTACTTGAGAGTCGAAATAAAGGTTGATTTGAAGTGTAGTGTTTCACATTGAAACAGGTATTGTACATGGCTGTTGGACTATATATATGGACTGTGCTCATGGGGATGACTGCCAAACATCAGCATGTGTGTACATCTGTTCTGCGTTTCGTTCATTTGTTTCTCTGGCTTTCATTTCCTGTTCCATAGGTAAATCACCGAATGTGCCTCAGGAAGAAATTCACGTTGTGCTGTAGGCTGTGGTTGAACATTCACACTGAAATGCAGTGTTGGAAAACAGTCTTAGCAATGGCTTTCAGAGACTTAGACGAAGTTTTTGTGCTCTAAGAAGGATTCGATGTTTACATATTGGAGAGAGACAGGACTCGGGCTCTTCAGTACTTTTTTGGTATCAGCTGAATTACTGCAGTACTGCTAGGTTCTGACAAAATACTACGTCAATCAGTACTAAACTGCCCAAATGTATTCCAGTTTTTTCAGCATTTATGACCCAACAAGCAAACTTGTTCCAAAATTTTGACTGGTGATTGGTTGTTATTAACATTCCACACTCGTTTCTTCATTTAGACCAAACCCACTTTCAGTTTGTGATTTAAAAGAAGGTATCGACAAAGTACCCTTCAAGAATCAAAATCAGAGTCAAGGAATCAGAAATAGTATAGCTCAGGAATCTGAATCAATGTCAATGAATCGATTTTAGTATCAGCGTCAGAATGGTGTGTTGCAGGAATAGGTACTGAAGTGAAAGTATCGGTATTGCTGTCAGTATCGGGAAAAAGTTAATGAATCAGCATCAAAGTGAAGGTATCAATATTGGCATCCGTATCAGGAAAAAGTATAGTTCAGGAATGAAAATCAAAGTTATGGCATTGATATTAGTAGTGATATCTGAAAAAGTACCGTACAGAAATCGGAACCGAAGCCAAGGTATCTGAAAAAGTCCAGATGGGAATCAATATTAAAGATATTGATGTTGGTATCAGCATCATAAAAACCATTCAGGAATCGATATTGAAGTCAAAGTTCCAACATTCATGTCGGTATTGGTATCAGTTTGGTATCTGTATTGGTATTGGAAGAGGTATAGTTCAGAAATCAGTATTAAATTGAGTTTGGTATCTGAAAAAATTCCATACATGAGTCATTAACAAAGTCAAGGTATTGATTTTGTTATTTGTATCAGAAAAAGTACAGTTCAGAAATTGAAATCAAAGTCAAGCTATCGATATTGGTATCCTGTCTGAAAAAGGATAGTTCAGGAATGGAAATCAAAGTCAAGATATCCGTGTTGGTATCGGAAAAACATGTAGTTTAGGAATCAGTGTTGAAGTCAAGATATCAATATTGCTAACAGCATCACAAAAGTTCAGGAATCAGTATCAAAGTCGAGGTGTCGATACTGGTATCAGTATCAGAAACAAATATAGTTTAGGGATCGGTCAAAGTATCAGTTTTGGTGTCCGTACCTGAAAAAGTACCATACAGGAATCGGAATCAAAGTCAAGGTATCTATGTTGGCATCGGAAAACTTGTAGTTCATGATTCAGTATTGAAGTCAAGGGATCATTATTACTGTTGGTATTGGAAAAAGTTCAAGAATAGCAGTCAGAGTCAAGGTATTGATACTGCTGTCTGTCTCTGTTGGTATCAGATAGTAGATCAGGAATCAAAGTCAAGATATTAGTATTTGTATCAGTGTGTTTATATAAAAAAAAGTAACCTTATGCAGCCCAAAACAGGACAACATGCAGCTGAAATTCTATGCGTAAGCTGTATTGTTAACTTAAATTTAGCATAATTAATGTGTTTGCTTCTCAACCTGGTTTGGCCCCTGCTTTCCATTCCACAAGAAGGTTGTCCTCAAAGCACCTGGTCAGCTGGTCATCCACAGATCTTTGGACACATGTGCTACTTATGGTATCATCACAGAGCAAAGGTTTCTGATCCACCTCACTGAAGTGGAGTATGAGAGCAGGACAGAGGTTACTTAGTCACCACAGAGAGAGACGCAGAGAAAGAAAATAGAGAGAAAAAAGCGGGTAAACGTAGGCTCATGATTGGGGTTTCCTTGCTGTGGTCTTGTGGGTTTCCTACTTTCCACACTGCCTCATAGAGGCCTCCCTAAGGCATCTGCTGCAAGAGAGCAATATTTAGTGACAGCACTGCTTTTTTTTTCTTCTGCATGTTAAATTATAGCTTTTTCAGGCAGTAGTTGTGCTTCGTTAGTGTGCTGGGCTTTATATATAAATACATACAATACTGATATAGAGCAGGTCTCAGTGCTGAATTAAGTCATGAGTTAAATGACACGGAATAGTTAAATTAGACCTACACTCAGCGAGCACTTTATGAGAAACACCTGTGCACCGACTCATTCATGCAATTATCTAATCAGCCAATTGTGTGGAAGCAGTGCAGTGCATAAAATCATGCAAATACAGGCCAGCAGCTTCAGGTCATGTTCGTATCAAACTTCACAATGAAAAAAGGAGAGTTTTGAACTGCTGAACTCCTTGGATTGTCACGCACAAGCATCTCTAGAGTTTACTCAGAATGGTTTAATAAAGAAAAAGCATCCAGTGAGCAGCACGTCTACAGACAGAAATGCCTAGTTGATGAGAGAGGTCAACAGAGAATGGTCAGACTGATTCCAGTTGACAGAAAGGCTACAGTAACTCAGATGACCAATTTGGACAATTATGGCGAGCAGAAAAGCGTCTCAGAACGCG